CTGGGGGCCAGAGTGGGAGGTGAAAGTTTAAGGTGTAACTGTACCCACTCATTCACATATGCATGCACTCCATTCATTCATTCATTCATTCGTTCATTCAGCTGCTTGCACCTGTCTGTGCTCCACCTGGCACTGGGGATGCTACTGTGAAACAAGTCAGGTAGGCTCCTTCCCACAGAGACCACAGGGAAAGACGCAGGGAGGTACTCTGCCTTCTGGAGAGTGCAATGTGGTACATCTGGGGGGCTGCAGGAGCACACCAAAGGGGCATGTAATTTGAACTTGGACTGCCAGAGAAAGATTCCTAGAAAAGTGAGTTCTCTCTAGGACCTGAAGGTGAAGTGGGAGGAAGGGAAGCCAGGGGTAAGGGATAGGTAAGTTCCAGCTGATACAGCTCAGTATCACCTGTGGCCTCTGGGAAACAAGTCACGTAACTGGTCTGAGCCTGTTTCCTCATTAGTAAAATGGGGGTAATAATACTTGCCTCATTGGGATGTTGAAAAGGCTTAATGAAATAAAGTGCATTAAGCACCTGCCAGAGTCAGATGCTTGACACTGTGATGTTCAATCCATCTGGTGGATGAACGGGTGACTCTTGGGGGTAGAAAAAGCCTCCATGATTTATAGGTTTAATTTGCTCTAGATTAAAGCAGGAATACAACTCTGATTTTTATTTTTATTTTTGGTGAAGGTCCAGTTTAATATACTATTTATTTTCCCTCCATGAATTGAGTGAAACTAGGGATATTTCCAAATCTTTGTGTTCAGCCACTATGAATGCTAACCTAAGAAAGCAGTTTATCACAAGTACCAGGCAGTTAGCCTTAAATAATGTTGGTTAGAAAATTTAAATTAGATTAAAAGAAAATTTCAATCCATGGATGCAGGGCCATTAGTTGCTGTCTAGTCACATTAGTTGCTGTCTCCTGTTACCACCAGATGACAGATCTTCTATCAAGGGGACAGGTTTAGGTTAAGTTTCCTAAATGCTGCTGTGGAGAAACCTGCTCCAGCTCGGATGGTGCTGGGCTCCCTGCCTAAACCACAGTGAAGTCATGAAGCTGAGAATCAAACAAAGACTTCTTGAGTTAGTAGAGTGTGCAGAACACAGACAAGTGTGTTTAAAGCACACAATATGGTACTTGTGTGTTCACAAATGAAATGGTTTATTGACCTGAGCTTAAAGTCATCATTTTGGAGCCAAAAGTCCATCCTGCAGTCGCTTGTCTTTGTCTCAACCATCCGAGGCTCTGCGAGAGCAGCTGCGGGCCCAGGTGATTCACTGCAGGACTTGACACACAGCTGGGTACAGAGCTTGTACTCAGATTTATTGAACAAATCACATTTTATTAGGATATATGTGACTCAACCTCTATTGCACTCTAGAGAGCAGCTGCGGGCCCAGGTGATTCACTGCAGGACTTGACACACAGCTGGGTACAGAGCTGGTACTCAGATTTATTGAACAAATCACATTTTATTAGGATATATGTGACTCAACCTCTATTGCACTCTGTTTCTGCATGTCCCTTTTTCACTTGAAGTTGAATTCTGAATGCAAATATAATATTATCACAGTATTACTTGAAAATACTATGCCTTTGAGCAGCAAGGGTAGGTGCTGTGATCTGTGGCTTTTCCCTGGACGATCCTGACCAAGACAGGGAGCTGTGATGTGGGTATTTGTGTGTGCGTGTGATTGTGTATTTGTGCGTATGGGTGCATATGTGCATCTATGTGCATTTCTGAACACGGGCCACATGAAGACTACATGTGTATCAGGAGTCCTTTCTATGTCTCATCAGATGAGCTTCTAGAGATCACTTAGCTTTTTGATTCAGCTTTTCTATCTGCAAAATGGGATGAACTCTAATTTCCTGATTCACTGAATAATAATAACTCTGTAATGTTAATAATTCTATATTACTTACTGTAATGTTATTTTCCTGAGAGAAGAATGCCACTTGATTGCAATGGGTACACTTTAGGAAGTTAAAGATTGAAAGTTGATTAATATCCCAAGGCAGCATTGGGATAATAAACTGTTTATTATACATAAACATACTCAATGTTTGATCAGTATGTGAAATGTAAACTCATATCTTGAAATCCAATGTTTACTTTTTAAAACACTACTTACTACACACTTAAAAACATTTTAAACAAATAATGAATCTTTGTCATCAGTGGTTCTTTGTGTGGAGATTCTTCTTCCCCCAATGACCAACAGGTTTCCAGGGGAGATTATAATTTACTTTATTATTATGTTCTTTGGTTTTCAGTCACCTGGAAATTACTACTGCTTTTAGCAATGGAAAGAATTACTAATAATCTGATATTCTGGCATTTTTCATCATCTTTCCACTCTGAATTTTGAAACGTTTCTACATTTGAAACTACTCAACACCACTGCATTGTTTATTCAGACTAAGAATTGGGTACTGCAGAGGCATACCGTCTTGTGCCCATAACATCATGCAGACGCACTCCTTTGGTCGGAGACTCACAACTACTTTAAAAATAATTTGAATCATCTATAGGCTTCATGATTTCAAAGGCAACAAAGGGACAGAGCCTGAATGCCACCACAGGTTCTGAGCCCTGGGTTAGGGCATCCTTCTGGCCTCCTGCGACACTACCCAGGTCTGCCCACGTGCAGCCTGCTTTAGGAACTATGATCAAATTCACTGAGTCCTGGCCAGAAGAAAGTATTTAACTACAAAGCAGTTACGAACTGCTTTGCTCTTATTTTGACATCAGCAGTGTCTTTGTTCTGGGAAAATACTTGTTTGGGATGAGTCTGACTCTAACTGTGCCTGGGCCCACAAACTATACTTTGGCCTGTGTGCCCGGGCCCTCGAACACACATTTAGACACATGGGCTATTATGGAGGAGGGATGAATTCTGTTTGGCATCTGATGCCACCAATTTCCAAATACCCTGCACTACTGGAATTATATTTAAGTGTGCTTTTCTCATGAAGATTTCATCCATTTGATTGTACCATTAATTATCAATGCTCTAAAGCCTTGAATGGATGGACAACTTCTAAATACCAAAAACTGATGTTTAGGCACATAAACCAAAGTTGAAAATCTTTTTTAAAAGTATTTTTTTCTCATTTTTAACAGAAAAACGAACAACATGTACCAGTCATTCAGCTGTGATACACGATGTTTATATAAGTATTTGTGAAACAATTTTCTGAAAGCGCCATTAATTGTCAAATTCTACATTGTGTTTTCCTACTGTTGTCAAATTAATTTTTTTTAATTCTTTCTTTTCAAGTTTTTGGCAAATGCAGTCTAAACTGAGGATTTTGGTGACGGGTGGAATTCTTTTACAAAACAGCACATACGTGCAAGCTACACATATTGATGTTTAGTTTTAGCATTTTATTCTACTAAAATAGGCTCAGAGATAAAATTCTTTTGTTTATAAGCAAAGAAATCTCTTTTTTTCACCTGTCTTTCTTTAGTTGTATTACATTTGGGGAATGTTCCAGGCCTTCTTTAATTGTATTACATTTGGGGAGTGTTCTCCCAAAAGAGATTATGGGATGCTTGCAAGTTTGGTGAAGCAACATCATGACCTCCCAAACAACCAGCACACTGCTCACCTCCTCCAGGCAGGCAGCAGCATAGATGCCACACTGAAAAGTTAGGAACCAGCGCCACCAGAGCACCATGAAATACATGACCCAACTCATGGCTTGTTCCCTCCCCATTCCCCAGCTTCTCACCCTCCCTCTGCTACACACACACACACACACACACACGCACGCACACGCATGCACACGCGTGCACACGCACACACACCCCAGGCCCAGCAGGAAGATTTGGAGTTAACCATGGAACATGTACAGCCCTGATTGAAGCGAGAGCTTAGGCTCGCCAGACCTGCCCACCCACTCCAAGTTAACAGCATCCTCTCTCCCTCTCTTCCACGGAAGACAGAGCACAGGGGATGTGGGTGCACCTGCCTAACCCTGCATCTCCAGGGATTGCAGGATGCCATGAAGACAAAGGGCAGCAAACAGACAGGCCCCCAGGACCTTGGGGAGGTGCCAATGCCTAAATTCCTCTTCCCAGTGACTGTGGGCTCCTTGCCTGGCACAAAGATACCCTCTCCATAAATACAAATGAGGGAGAGGGTTTTGGACAGGTGTGTGTGTTAAATTCACACAGGAGGCTGCTGCTCAGGAGCTCTGCATGAGGGGGCAGCTCCGGCCCAAAAATGGGGCTGGGGAGGGAGCAAGAGAAGAGAGAGATCAAAATAGGTATGGCCACCTGCCTGCCTCACCTGAGCAAGTATGAGTGTGGGTGGGGTGAGGGGCAAACTGGATTCCCAGGGGGTACGCACTGCTCCTGGCGGGGATGGCAGAGTCCTGGGAGAAGCCTGGTCCTAGAGAAGGATCATCTAGGCCAGGAGCTGAATGACAGGAAAGGAAGCTTGTATCCCCTGAGACCCCTCCCGGCCTGAGCAGCTTTATCCCCTCCTCCATGCTCCCCAGCCCCTATAGTCCCAGGTACCCTCAGCACTCACTCCTGCTCCTGATCCCCTGGCCGCCTGCCTGGACCACCAAGGGAAGGCACTGAGCCAGGACGGCCTGGCTGGGCGGGGTGAAAATCGGCCACGGCTGGGCCTCGGGACCGCTCTTGCAGTCCACTTTCACCAGCACTAAGAAGGCTCTTCGGGGTCTGCCAGGCTCCCCTCGAAAACGCCAGAGCTGAGCGCCAGCCCGGCGCCCCTTCGTGGCAGATCCCTGGAGAGTGCAGGTTCCGAGCGCCCTCTCTCCCGGTCTGTAAGGTCGCCTGGATGAGGGGCGCTCGGCTGGCGAGTCACTCCGGAGCCCGAGGTGCCGCTCGGCTCAGCTCTGCTCTCCCTCCTGTGGCACTGACGGCTGCGTCGCCAACACGCAGGACTGTCACCAGGGGGAACCCGGGGCCTCAGCTCAGCACCTGTGGACAGGGCGCCCGGGCCAGTCTCCAGCCTCTCTTCAAACTTCGGTTCCTCCCCGGCTGTAGACGAGGTGACTGACGCGGAAGCTGGTGGCCGCCGTCGGGTGGCCAAGGGCGAAGCTGGACACGGGGCCAGGGGTCTGAGGACCGTGGGCGGTGACCGTCCCGAAAGAAAAGTCACCTGCACGGCCCCTGGGGAAGGTGCCAAGGCCGCCGGTCAGGGCGCCCATGGCCGAGGCGAAGCTGGAGAAGCAGGCGGCGGCCTCGGGTGCCAGCGGGGACGGCGAGGCCTGCGGGTCCGGGGACGCCGCGCCCGGGGCCTC